AGAGAGGAGCTGGGGAGAGTCCTAGAAGGTGGGGTCTGGGGTTCAGCTGAGTGGAGAGAAGCAAAGAGGATGGCTGTGGTGCTGGGTACCCAGTCCTTCTGGCCTGATCTTGCCTGGTTCCTTTCCCTGGGGGGAGCACCCCAAAGTGGAGACACTCTGATCCCTCTGCTGAATCCAGCCCCCCAAAATCCAGCAGCCAATCCAGACCTATGTTTTGTCCCTTCCCCGACCCCCAGGGTGGCTGCCCAGATTAGCGGTTGGCCTGACCTTTGCTACCCAGAAAAGTGTCAGACTTTCGTCCTAGCAGGAGCCTTGTAGCAGGAGCCAGTCCCCCACCGCCCCCATGGCTGGAGCTCACCACGTGCTCTCTCTGGCAGGCTGCACCTACATAGGCAGAATCTTCTACAACAACCAGACGTTCCCGTCTGTGCTGGACCCGTGTCTGAGCTGCATCTGCCTGGTATGCACCACCCAGACCTGACCCCTGTCTGTGGAAACTCCCCAGGAACTGATATCAGCTCCTGAGCCCTGGAAGCAAAATCCAGAGACCTCCAAGAGAAAGGTCACTTCTGGGTCAGGGTAAACGTGCCCTGCCCAGAGGCAATCTTTACCCAGGGCCAGAGGAATATTTTCCTGCCCAGCCGAAGTCCTCTGCTTCTGGGTGACCAGGGAAGATCTGGGGGGGCTGGCTCCTTATAGTGTACACTGTGGCCCACGATTCTTGCTGAGAGAGCAGGGAAAGCACTCCAGCCCAGGGCTCTGTACTGGAATTGTTACCAGACCCACATTATGGAGCTCTTGTGTGCCGGTCCCTGTTCTCAGCCCTTCTATTCATGAACTCAGTTAATCCTTTTGAGAATTCTGGGAGGTAGGCACCACCATCATCTCCATCTACTGGGTGAGAAAACCGAGGCACAGAGAGATGAAGCCATTTGTTCAGGATCCTATGGCTAGTCGATTGCATTGCCAAGAACTGAATCCTAGTATTCGGAGTCTGTGCTCCAGAAGGTGCACTTTTACTACAAGCCACGCTGCCTCTCAGTCTAAAAAAGCATGTTAGAGAGTAGTATCATTTAGTATTTGGACAGTGGGGAAAAAGTCCAATTTATTGCCCGTCGTGCTGCAAATGTTTCATGTAGTGAGCAGTGGGCGCAGATGCAGAGTGAAAAGGGACAAGGTCTACAGAAAGATTGAGAAACTCAGGGTAAACACCTCTGGCCTCTGAGTGGCCCTGTTCATTCACAGCCACATGCTTCCAGAAGCTTCGGCTTCTGGGTCCTTCTTTCTCCTCGGTTTTTGGTGCTTAGCTTCCCTGGGCATTTCATGGATTTGTTCAACAGGTACCTGTTGACTGATGAACTGTGAGGACGAGGCTAGGCCTTGGCTTTGTGGGCCTTATGCTCTAGCAGGAAGACAGACTCTAACCCAGTGAATGACCCCCTCGCACCATCCCCACCGTGGTGACTCTGATTAGCATGCAATGGCTATGTGACCTGTCCTTCCTGCATGTCAGCTGCCCAGAATGAAGGGCCTTGTGCACTTTCTGTGTCCTGCAGCTGGGCTCAGTGGCCTGCTCACCTGTGGACTGCCCCATCACCTGCACCTACCCTTTCCACCCTGATGGGGAGTGCTGCCCGGTGTGCCAAGGTGAGTGCACCCAGCTGTCCCCGTCCAGGGCGCCTAGGTGGGCCTTGGCTCTCTAAGCTCCTGTCTCCTCTGTCCCTGCAGACTGCAACTACGAGGGGAGGAAGGTGGTGAATGGCCAGGTGTTCACCTTGGACGATGAGCCCTGTACCCAGTGCACGTGCCAGGTGGGCTGGGCCTCGGAACCCAGGGGCTGCCCAGCCAGGGGCTGCTTCCTGCCTTCTTGTCCCTTTGCAAAATCTTGGAAGCCTCTTAGCTAATGCCAGCCTGCCTTCCTTCTGCTGTTCTTCGACTTTACCTGCCAGAAAGCCTTTGTATTTGATGGTATCCTCCCTCTTTGTGGTTTCCTTAGGATGGCCACTCTGTGTTCGGCTCCACCTGTTGCTTAGGTGAGGGCCAGGCCCTGCAGCCTCTGTCCCAGGACCTTTCCTCGGGTCCCGCTGCTGGCATAAGAGGCTGCTGGAGGCATGCTGGGGGCGGGCCAGATGTTCTGGGTTTCCCCATGTGTGCCCTCTGCTCCCCAGCTGGGAGAGGTGAGCTGTGAGACCATTCCCTGCCAGCAAACGTGCTCAGACCCCTCCATGCCCCTTGGGGACTGCTGCTTCTCCTGCCCAGGTAAGTGGGTCTCTGGGTCCTGGAGTTTCTCCACTGTCTTCTTTCTCTTCACACCTCTTCCCAGAAACATAGAACTTGTAAAGGCCTGGATGTGAGAAGCTCAGGCTCAGAGAGGGAACGTGTCTTGCTCAAGGTCACGCAGCCAGCACGTGGCCAGCCCAGTGCTAACCCTCAGCCAGTGTTCTTCGTGCCACACCATGACCTGCCTTCTGACAAGTGTGTTTGTTTACTATTCCCTGTTCTTTCTCATTATCTCCTCCTTAATGCCTTCCTTTGCTTTCTTCCTTTTAAAAAATCAACAGTTTAGGGACAAATCAACTTTGTGGAAGGGTAATCGCTTATACATATTTGACCACTCATTATGTGTCAGGGAACATCCTGTCTTATTTCATTCCCTTTTCACAGTAATAGGTACTATTCTCATCCCCATTTTCCAGGTGAGGAAACTGAGGCACAGACGGTGAAGTGACGTGCTCCTGGTCACACAGCCGACTGGTGTTAGAACCAGGATTGGGACCCCGAGCTTATGCGTTTAGCTGTTGTGCTGTCTTGTCTCCTGAAGATGACTTTGATCTGTCACTGGTGTTCCTCCATGTGGGCCTTTTTGCAGAGCTATAAATAGGACCCAGGCAACCTACCGCAACATGGAGCTTTGAAGGATTGATGTCGCCCGCAGCTGGCCGTTTGAAAAAGCTCCCAGACCTTCTGGTTTGCTTAGCTTTTTAGTTAACATTTGGGTGGTTTCTTTCTTTCTTTCTTTTTTTTCCAACCCATAATGGACCTACTGTGAAGAATCTCAGGTCAGACAACTTTTTTCCAACTTTGTGAGTTGTGTTGCTGTGACCCTGTGGTGGATGGTGGAGTAACTGGGTCACAGGGCTTCGGGAGAGGTTCGGAAACTCCTCCAACAGGACAGCCCGTCCCCTCACGGGGTTCCTAGGGGAAGGGGACACTTACGATGATGTCGCTGGTTCCCCATATTCCCACCAACTCTAACCTGTATGTTTTGAATTTAATTCTTCCAATTTAACATGTCCATAACATCTTGAAGTGTGGCTTTATTTTATGTATTTTAAGCACCCAGACAGATGGTAAATTTTTCCCACTGATCTGGGGCCTGATTTCCTCTTGCATAAATTAGGCAGTTTAATTCCTTTGACCTTTTGAAGAGGATCTTCTACATTCATGGCCACTCTTTGGTTCTGTGGAAGAAGAGCTGCTGTCAGCACTGGTAGGGCTGAACCCTTCTGCGTTCGAACCGCCATTACGCTAGGAACTGTCCAGTATTTTACAGATGCTACTTTGCTATCCTCTGTGAGCTAATCGACATTATTTCCCCTGCTGTCTGTAGACTAATTGTTAGCTAAGGTACCAGACAGTGGATGGAAATTTTACCTGTGTTACCTCGTTTAAATGCTACTGGGAATGTTTGAGCATGGCTATTATCATCTCCATTTTGCAGTAGAAATGGAGGCTCAGAGAAGTTACACTTCTGTCTTGAGATTGTGCTCTAGTTGGCAGTGTTGGACTCAAGCCCAGGTCTCTCTGCTTCTTTACCCCGTGCTCTTTCCCGTTCTGCTTTCCTGCCTCCAGATTGGGAAACTGAGGCCCGAAGAGGTGACGTAAGGGCCTGGCTCCTTCTCCTGGCGCATCCTGCTTCAGCTACGTGCACCACACGCCTTTCCCCAACAAGAGCGCCTTTAATGGAGAAACCACTTTTTACTGAAATAGAATATGAACTGCTTCCTTTCAAGAACCAAAAAAAAGTAACAGCTTTCTTGAGATATAGTTCACGTACCATAAAATTCACATGTTCAAAGTATACAATTCACTGGTTTTACGTATACTCACAGTGGTGCAGGTGTCCCTTTGGGGCTTTTTAGAATGTAGTCATTCCAGTTTTCTTATGCTTTTGGTGACCTCGGCTCCCCCCTGACCCTACCTCTCTCTTGGGCTTCTCTTGGGCTTCACTCTCCATGTTCTTTTCACCTAGCCTCTTCCTTTCCTGTTCTCACAGGAGTTAGGCCCCTGTGTGTTGGGCTGCATGCTGAGACTTTAAAAAAAACCTTTTTCAACAGACTTTAGTTTTTTAGAGCAGTGTGAGATTCACAGCAAAACTGAGTGGAAGGTACAGATTCCCATATATCCCCTGCCCACCAACCCCCGTGCACAGCCTCCCCCGCTATCCACCTCCGGCCCCAGACGGCACATTTGTTACAGTCAAGGACCCCACACTGACACACGACGATCACCCAGAGCCCGCAGTTAACAGTCAGGTTTAGGCGGAGCCTTCCCAAGCACTGCTCATTCAGTCCTAAGAGAGGCCCTGTGAGGTCACTGTTGTTATGCCCATTTTACAGATGAGGAAACTGAGACCCAAGGAACTTACGTATCTTACACAGGCCACACAGTACCCGGCAGAGCCACTTTGGTGGCCTGCCCCCTTGCATTCGTGGCTCCTTTTCATCTTCTCTCTGTGGAGGCAGGAGCCGGCTGGTCCTCGCCAGGTACGCGAGGCCTCTCCAAGGACAGAGCCTGGGCGCCCGTCCCCGGTGCTGCCCATCCAGAGCTGCCTCAGCCGCTGGGGAGAACCGTGCATCTTGTTTCCCCCACCCCTCTCTAGATTCCCTGGAGGAAAAGCGGGGACTGTCCGCTCGTGGAGCCACGGTGTCGGGCAAGGTGGCTCGGAGCCCTCTCAGAGACGCCGAGTCCCTGCTCAGCTGTAGCTCCTGCGCAGGGCCCCTGGCAGCATGGCCTCAGAGGCCGGCCCTCCGTCTCCTCCAGCTTCTCTTACAAGCAAACCCATCTGGTGTGCGGACTTCATCCCCAATCCCCTCGGGAACCCAGGCCTCACCCTCACCCACTTTGGGGCCGCGGGACGTGGTCCTGGGGGAGCCCGGGGTCTCCCAGTCACCTTGGCCCTCAGCAGGGCCTTGGGCCCCTGCAGGAGCCTCCACTCTACCTCCAGCCTCCCCTGGGGCTCCTGGGCCACCTCCCGTTTCCCCAGAGCCCTCTTTCTCAGCCTCCGGGGCCCAGACAGCGTCCAGACGGCCTTCTCTGCCTGCCACTGTCCTGGCTGAAGAAGCTTCAACCCTTCCCACAACAATTCCCGGCCCCTCAGAGACCTCCATCGCTCTCGTCAGACCTCACAGACTCTCCTCCCCCACCTCCAGGCTCTCTGCGGCCCTTGGAGCCACGGCCAGCCACAGCCCGCAGCAGCCCACGGCTGGGGCCTCAGGGAGGGAGGGGTCCACCGGGTAAGCAGGCCTCCTGGTCAGGGCTGTGCCTGGAGACCCTGGACAGAGACAGTTCAGCTGGCAGGGAGGCTCTGGGGGCAAACGAGTCTCGTGGCACGGGAGGGGTTTACTCCCACAGTGCTCCTGGTGGGGGTGGCAAGTCCCCAGGGCTCGATACAGCCTCGGCCCCAAGAAGCATTTGCAATGTGCTGTGCCAGCCCAGCAAACGGCGTTCTCCACGGTCAGCGTCCTCCCTGGGCAGCACACCCTGCTTGTCTTCTGAGGAAGGTTGGGGCTCTGAGCTCCCCCACTCTGGAGGAAGAGTAGAGAGGGCCTGGGGTTCCACTGGGATTGCGCCACCTGTCATTACACGCCCTTGCCTGGGGTTCCTGATTAAAGGCTGTCTCAGTCTCCCCCAGGCTGCCCTGCGCATTCACTTGTCACCTTTGGAAAGGTGAGAAAATTTCACTCAGAGCCCAGAGCGGTGAAGTCGTGTCCTGCCTCAACCTCCCAGCTTGGGAGAAAAGCTGGCACCAAACCGGGGACGGGTTGGGTAGGGTCTTGTGTAAGCATCTGGTGACCTCTGGATGACTTCTAAAGTGAGAGGGGGACAGACAGACAGAGAGGCGTTGCAGGTGGGCCCCTGGGAGGGCATCACTGGAGCATGACGGTAGGCAGGCAGTTCCTGAGGGCGCACTGTCAGCACTCACACCTGTGGGCGTGAGGGAGGGAGCGAGGAGAGGTCAGGGTGCTGTACAGTCCCAAGGTCTCAGCCAAGCCCCTGTGGGGGCTCTGAGGCTGGGGTGGCCCTTAGAGTTGTCCTGAGTTGGGCCAAGGGGACAGGGCTTTGTGCCTCCATGTGGACCAGTAATTCTTTCTGGCTGCCCCAGGAAAGGGGGATGACCTTGGGCAAGGTAGCCCTGTCAGCCACAGTTCCCAGGGGGCACTGATGGCCACCAGCTGTCAGCCAACAACCTTCCCAGCAGCTGGGGGAATAAGTCTGTCACTCCTGAAGGGGGAATCTGGGTGGTGCAGACCAGTTTGCGTGACAGGTGGAAAGAAGACAGTGTTATAAATGTGGGCGAGTGAGACAGAGGTGGAAAACAGCTGTGCTGTCACCGAGTCACTGGAGTGCTACCACTGAAGCCCAGGGGACTGCAGAAGGAGCCACAGCCCCTCCCTCATTTGCCTAGGCCACCCTCCTCTTCGCTGCCCTCTGACCTGTGGCTCACCACTCTTCCCCAGGTGAACTGTCTGCACTGCGGTGCTGGCGGCAAAGGCCACCTGGGGTATCCAGCCCAGACATACCGTAGTAGTGGGATTCTAACCCAAGCCTGGTGGCATGGATGATGAATTTGGAGTAAGGAGCATAGAAACCAAAGACTAGAGATGCAAAGGACTTAGAGACCATTCTGTCTAGTAAGACACAAACATGGCAGTTCAGCAGGAGGCCTGGGTGCTGTGAACCCTGGTTTGAGCGGGACTAGCCGTGGGATCTCCAGTCTCACTCTCTCGTCTGTGTAATGGGGGCCCTAACAGTCCTGCCTCATGGAGTCGTGGCGACAGCATGTGATAATGCCTCCATAAGTCCTGGTGGTTTGTGTTTGTGGCTGGGTGCAGCCCACCCAGCTTCACGATACCACCTGGAACCTAATTTCAGAATGAAAGTGTAGACGCTGGCTCCCTCTACACTGCAACTTCTTGAGCCCAGCTGACAACGTGGTAGTAGCTAAAAGTGCTGAATTTCCCGCTGTTCAATAAACTGTGCAGTTCACACATTAATATTAGTCTCCTTGCTCCATAGAACACTAATAAACGATACTCATTTTGAACGATAAAAAAAAAACAGGGCAAAGGGTAGGAGGACAGCTATGCATATTCCCCCCAAGTTGATCCAAGTATAAAAACCTGCTTCTCTGGCCTCTTCCCTCCCCATTTATAGCCGAGAGCACAGAGGCCCAGAGAGGTGAGCAGAGGGTCCTGAGGCTGCACAGATTATGAAAGCTGAGCTGGGAGGAGGGCCCTCCTCTGGCTCCCAGGCTGGGCTTTTCTCCTGCACATCATACTGGGCTGGATTCCTCTTTGGGGGATCTCAGAACGACCGTATGACAGATTTATAGTTTATTGTGGGGTGTTACAGCTGCCTTATCTCAGTTTGAAACCCTCCAGAGCAGACTGGGAGGTAACTATTTGGGTGAGAGTCGTGGAGCTGGGGGGGTGGCCCGGGGAGCAGGCTGAGGGAGGGGGCGAGGCAGACAAGGAGGACACCAGTCAAGCTGCCCACGGGGTCGCTGCTGTGGCCAGCCCCACCCAGTCCTCCTGCGGGCCCTCCGGGGGACTGTGTAGCACACGATCAGATTGTCCCCCAAACCCGAGGGCATGAGGATGCCACTTTTGTCCCTCTCTTGTTCCTGGCACGTCCAGCTGGTCCTGCCCAAGGACCAAGCCTGCATTGTTTCGGATGGCTCCTGAGCGCAGGAAGGCTCTTGGGGAAGAGGTGTGGGAACTGGCGCGGAACACCTCGCAGGGCCCTCGCTGACTTACTCTGAGGTCATCACAGACCCTTCTCAGGACCTGCAGGGGCTCACAGCTGTCCTGCTTCTCTCCGTGGGCAGGCAGTGTTGTCGTGCCCATGTTTGGAGGTGCAGGTGGAATCCCACCTGGTGAGAACACGATCTGCTCACAGCAAGCCCAGGATGCTTGGCCCCTGCCTGGGGCTGGCTGGCTCCAGGAGCTTGGAGGACCACTTGGGACCCCAGCTGGGTGTGCGGTACTTGTAACAACCTGGATGAGCTGGTCTGAATTCTCAGCAGCCTGCACTCCAATAAGCAGGGGGGGATTTGCTCTTGGGTGAGCACACCCTACGTCTTCCCTTACGTAGGAGCCCGCATTCAGGGTTCTGAGAAACAGCAGACAGGAGAGTGTGCCTGAAGCCTGTTCCACAATGTCAGTCTCACTGGGCCTGATGAGTCCCCAAAGGGATAAATGATCAAACCCAGTTCAAGAGATCTGATTTTGGTGCCTAGGGTGCCTAAATGGTTTTCTTGGCTTCACTGGAGATGGCTGGTAATTATAGATTTGCTTCGTTTATGTTACCGTATTCCTATTATGTTAATATGTGTGTGCAAGTTAGTTAGTAGTTTAAAACCTATACATGCTTAAGGTACTCTACAAGAAGATATGTCAAAGAAATAATCAATCCTCCCATGTTTTCTTCCGTCTGCTACCTCTACAGCTTTTCTTCTTCCTTCCTAATTATAACCCTTAAATAGAATTCGTGCCTCATATCGAATTTACCGAGTATCATAATTCCTCCAGGTGGTAAAGATACCTCGAGACAAGTGCTGGGCATAGAAGCCACAGGGCATAAATCTGCAAAGAAGTAAAAAGCTAACCTTTTCAAACAATATGGCTTCTCTCTCACTTACCAACTTTACATTTCCCTGTATGGCCCCGGAAGATGACTGGTTAGCCAGAGACGGGTAAGATTCCTCAAGGGAGGAACAACCTAAGACAGGCACAGTCGCAGGGGGGCCATCAGGTGAGAAATCGGGGAACAACAGTGGTGAAGCTTAGAACCTCACCACCCCACTGTTTTGAGAGAAAGCTTCTGCATCCATGCATGTTTTATTGCCCTTGTCTAGCTCGGATTAGCACAGTCTACAGGCACACACCTGATCATCTACAATTGCTCTCTTACAACACTAAACTATGTTTTCTAACTTTATCTCGCATCTACCTACCACTTCAGCATTCTATTAAAAATAAAAATAATAATAATAATAAAGGGAGAAATGTGGGATCCACATATAAATCAAGTATAAAAATCAAACGAATATTCATATTTGACCTGATTGTTTATAGTTCATAATGCGTGATCAAAACCGAAAGTTTCTGTGATGACTGCCCTTGCACTGTTCACCATGTAAGAACTTATTCACTATGTAAGAATTCGTTCACCATGTAAGAACTTGTTTGTTATGCTTCAGAAGATTGGAGACTGACGAGAATTAGGCTTGAGATGGATTAATGATTGTGCATTGAGCATTGACCCCCCTATACAGAATTTTATTGTTGTTAACAACCATTTGATCAATAAATATGAGAGATGCCCTCTCAAAAAAATTAATTAATTAATTAATTAATTTAAAAAATAAAAAAAAAAGAGATCTGATTTTGGATATTATTAGGTGAACAGGTTTGAAGACAGACCCCAGTAGGTTTCAAATTAGGATAAACTTTCAGAGGTTAGGAATACCTTTTATTGACTTATTTTGAATGTGTGGTATGGCTACATCATTAGAAATAAGAACATGGTGAACTGTATTCAGTGAGACGTCTTCCCTATCCTGCGTCTTCCCTTCTACCATCTCTGGCTTTTGGGTGACCTTTCTCAGTTCCTGTATGTTTGTGCCAGCAAATCTGGTTTTCTTTCTTTATAACCCAAGATAGCATAACATAGGCCCTATTGTCACCTGGTTTTATTTTATTTTTACTTAACGATCTCTTTTTAAGATCTTTCTGTCCCCGTACGTAGTGAGCAGACTGTTTTTCCCTCTTTACAGCTGCCTAGCGGCTCGTCTTATGCATGCGCCATACATTGTTTAACCATCCCCTGTGGCTGGACATTTGGGTCGTTTCAAATCTTGCTCTTACAAGAGATGCTACAAAGAATAACCACGTCCTTACATCATTTTGCACGTGTGCAAGTGTGTCTTTAAGATCAATTCCCAGAAGTGAAGTTACTGGGCCAGAAGGTATATGCATTTCTGATTTTAATAATATTGCCAAATGGCACTCCTTAGGGGTTGTACCAATTTATGCTCTCGCCAGCAACAGGAGAGAAACTGTGTTTGGGGAGGGTTTTGGTTCCACAGATGAGTGGAGCAGAGACTTGTGAGACGAAAATACCACTCCAGACAAGTGTGAATGAAATGGATGAACTGAGCTGAGCTCAGACCCCTGAGGTCCTGGGGAAATGCCGAACTTAGACACCGGAGGTCCCCAGGAAATGGAAATGCAGGAAGATGAGTAGGGAAGAGGCCTGGGACTGGAAAAGGAATGTGAGCGTGTCTTGTCTTGTGGAGCAAAATAGGGAGTGTCTGATCAGGTACGTTAGCACCAGGCTTTCCAGTCCAAATAAGCTGTTTAATGGGGAGCCGTTTTAGATTCTGTCTGGATCAAGTATTCCCAGGATGAGGGAACGGAAGGGGGGCTGGGAGGGAGAGGCTAGGCTGCAGCTGCTGGGCTGAGAAGCGGGAAGGGAGGCTGGGGCTGGAGGCAGGAGGGCAGGAAGGGGTCTGGGAAGTCCTGCCGGCATCCCCAGAGCCCAGTACACAGCCTGGCTCATGTGAGGTGCTTGGGAAATGTTGGAAACACAAACAGAGCAAAGGAGTCAGGACACTGTGAAACTCCTCCCCAGAAACTTGAGAAGTCCACCTGTTTGCCTGCGACCAGATATGACTGGGAAGGATCTCGGTGGGGGTGGGGCAGACCCATCTGTCGTCTTCAGCTCGGTCTCAGTCAGATCAGATGCCCTCTCTCTCTTATCCTAATTGTTTCCTTTAAAAAAGTCATCTCAAATTCGTCACAAATATTTATTGAGCACCTATATTGTGCCAGGTCCGGCTCTTGCTGCTGGGGCTTCAACACTTACATAGCCTCTGCCCTAGTGGATCAGAAATAAGCATTTCCATGAATGCACACTTCCAATTGTGCTCACGGCTGTGAAGGAAAGGAGGGCCCAGCTCTGCAAGAAGGTGGTCAGGAAAGGCTTCGCAGGGAAGTGACATTTAAGCTGAGATCTGCACAATGCTAGGAGTTAGCATGTCAAGGAAAAGAGAACAGCAATACTGGTAAAGGGAACCATGTGTGCAAAGGCCTTGAGGTCAGGTTTGGGATTTGTGGAGGTGGAAGAAGGCCAGGGTGGCTGAAGCTCAGAGTAAGAAGGATCAAGGTGAGGCCGGGAAGGGGTGTAGGGAGCAGAGCATGTAGGGCTTGGAAGTCTCACCAAAGATTGTCTGATTTCCAAGTGCAATTGCAAAGCATTAATTAAAGTTGTTAAGCAAGGAAGGATGTTCAAATGCATATGTTTTGGAAAGATTGTTCATCCATGGGAAGTGGGCTGGGGCGGGTATAGGAGATATTGGGGGAGCCTGGGGCATTGGGTGGTAGAACTCACCTCACCCCTTCCTAGAGCCCAAGATCTTCCATTTGGGTGAGTGGTAAATGACAAATCGGGAGCTTAGGTGACAAGAGTTTCCAAAGCCATCTTGTTTTGGGCACCAGAGTCACTTGCTCTCATCAGGAAGGCCCAGCTCCAGTCCTCAGGCCAGCGTCTTAGAGGACAGCCTGGAATCCAGCTGTTGGTAGAGGCAGGAGCTATGGGAATTTCCCCGGTGTGCGTGCTGAGGAGCACAGGACTGCTAGAGGTTTACTAGCAAAATAGGAGCTGGGATTAAGCTAAACTGAGTCAAAGTGAAACAATCACTTTGCAGCAGGGCTTCTCAGAGCCTTTGGGGAATGTGTCTTACGAATGTTGAAGAGGGGTGTAGAATGTAGCAGGTTCCCTACTTACTTTGAATCTTTTCATTGGATTTGCTACCAAGTCTGAAAAACGCTGCTCCAAATATTTCCTGTTCGCATGTCTAGGGCATATTCGCTAGTGGGCATGCTCAGTTCCTTTTCTCAGAAAATCTTCCTCTTTTAAAATACTAATGGGGAAGTGGATCAGTCCAGTGTCTTGTACCCAGAGTGGTGAGGAGTTCTTAAATGTTAGTGTGGATCAGCCTGCTTATCACAGAGAGCAGCCTCGTAGATTTTGTCACCCGTCTGGCCCATGTCTTACAGACAGTACTGCCCTGCCTGGCCTACTTAAGAACGTCACCATCGGTGGCCACCTCCCCTTGATCTCTTTACTTTTCTCACAATCTCTTATTGGCTTTGGGAGAAATAATTTGACTCCTTTGATCAAGAACTGTGGTGCCCTCTTATATGTGGTAGTCATGGACCTGGCATTTCTGGTCTCCAAATCGTTATGTGATTCTCCCAGGCAGACCCGCTGAGGCCCATTTGTCTTCTTGGCTCTGTTGTGAAGTGTGTGCGGGCACTGCCACTGCGTTTGAGGCTGTCCAATTCTGTCACCCTGCCCTGGTGTTCTGACCCTGCTGACATGAGGAGAGACACCGACGAAGAGAAGCAACTCCACACAACGCTTTGTAGGAGGTTATGTCTTTATTGTACATTATTGGTAAGATAGGAACAAGGCCAGGATTCCACCTCCATGAACCCAGGAGAACAGTCAGGACAATTATGTTCATCTGAGTGGGCAATGGAGGCCAGATATTCCTGGGAAGTGGCCAGAAACTCAGGCTTAGGCCACGGGAGCCAGGCCCACCTGGTTGTTCGCCCTGTCGAAGACAGCAAAGTACTGGCGGATGAAGACATCCCCCAGGATCCAGAGCTCTCCGGAGGCAGTGGGGAGGTTCATGCCCTGGAAGCCGCTGGCACAGCCCTGCTGGTTCTGGAGCAGAGGAGGAGAAGATGGGAGATGCAATACAGATTCAGCAGTGGCAGGTACAGGGGGTTAAGCATCAAGGGCCCTGGTCCACTGCAAGGCGGATGCAGGGAGCAGCTTCCGGCTCATGTCTGGGTGTGGCTTTTCCTGGCCTGGGGTCCGCCTAGATTAGCTCTTCACTGCACTACTGGTTTCCAGGGGTCACTAGATTTTATTCAGTGTTTCTGGCAGGGGCACAACCCCTAACATCAGCATGGGAGTTGAGGGTTTAGGGAGAACTTAGCTGCCGGGAAGGACTTTGGAAGCTCTGGTGACACAGCCTTTTCTCATTATGCAGATCTGTCCAGTGGCAAACCAGATCAGCTGTCAGCGCTTTTCATTCTCCAGGGCACTGGGCCACAACCTTGGCTGTGTATTAGAATCACTTGGGCAACTTTGAAAGACGTCCCTGCTCAGACTTCACCCCTACACAGTAACGAACATTGCTGGGGGCGCAGCTCAGACAGGTACTTCCTGTTAAACAAACCCACCCCCTGGGCAAAGCTGGGTTTCCATCTGGCATTATAACAGAAGGTAAAGAGTTCTCCTGCGGGCCATTGGCCTAAAGATTTGTTAGCTGCTGATACGGTAAGCCCTGGCTTTACGGAAGTTATGATTTCTGTTTGCTCAACCCTTTGTGGCTTTGATGGGGTCAGTCTCCCTTGGTTCCTCTGACCACACTCTGAGGGTGGGGGGGAGCTGACAGCGCTAGCTGTTAGATGAGGAAACAGGCTGAGAGGGTCTGCAGCTTAGAATCAGCAGGCTGGTAATTGAGCTCCAGAGCTTGGATTCAGGGTCCAAGTGGAATTCTCTCTTCCTACCATGAGCCTCTGCCTCACTCTTTCCCTTGAAGTGGGGTGGGGCAGTGTTGCTTCCACATTCTCATTCACACGTTTATTTTAAATGTCTTCCTTTTCTCTGAAGCTGTCCAGAGCAGATGTCAGCTTCAGTGTGTGGAAGTGCTCAGGGGCCGTGGAAGTATGCAGCCACATTCTGTGAGGGCACATCTAGGCGGGTGGCCCTAAGCCCCCTTACCTGCAGGATGTAGGCACTGGCGGGCAGAGGGTACTGGATCCCGTTGATGGTGAAGATGATGTTGGGCAGGTTGTACATGGCTGAGCAGCTGATCACCATCTGGAAAGAGTGAGGGTTAGGAGGCCTGCATTCCTTCCGCATGGCAGACGTGCCACTTGGGTCTGAACAGGGCAGTCTTGGATAGACTTACCTGGCCGTTCGAGTCCTCGCTGGCACCAATGTAGCTCTGGATGTTGGCGATGGCATTGCTTGGGCCAGATAGCAGAGAGGTGCCTGTGTCAACAATGGCCTGGCAGCTCTCGCTGCAAGCGATGATCTCTCCGTCCATGGTGATGCTGAGGAAAAGATGTAAGTAAGGGTTCTCTGAGCCTCGAGGGAGTACTTCTCCCCAAGGAGGAACCAGGTGACTCCAGAGGTCCATCCTCCCTACGCACTGGCCAGTACCTAAAACTGCAGCTTCTCTGATTGGCATGCTCATTCACCCATGCATTGATTTACTCAACAGATATTTACTGAGTGCCTACCCAGTGCTAGGCACTGGAAGATGCATAGCCAGTCAAGGCAGCCACACAGTTTCTGGCTGCAGCGAGTTCACAGCCTGGCTGGGAAGAGTCGTGATTGAGGAAGAGCACAACAGGGGAAGAGAAACACAGGCCAGGTGGGGGTGGTGGGGTGGAGCCCCCAGGGAAGCCTTTTTGGGAAAGCAGACGCCCAGAGGTTGCCAAGGAGGTGATGAGCTGGAGGAGGACATCACGGGCAGAGGGGATGACAGGCGGGGAGTGATGGAGACAAGGGAGCAGGGGTGGAGTTGGGGGAACTGTTGAGGTTTTAGCTTGGCTGGGGCAGATCTACGGTGACCAGCACGTGCCCCTTTGCCCAGGACTGTCACAGTTTTAGTACTGAAACTCTGGCATCCCAGGAATTTGCTCACTCCTGGGCAAGCCTGGGCCATTGGCCACCCTGGCAGGCCGGCTGGGGCAAGAACACCTGAGAGGGAGGCCGCGTGGGGGAGGGGCGGGCTCTGGAGGGTGGGTGGGAGGCGACGACCTGAGACACTGCTCGCTCTGTCCGTGGACTGAAAGCGGCATTTTCCCGAGGGTGGGAGGAGCGTTGTTCTGGTTCACAGGTCCCCTAAATCCTGAGATGGGTGGGCAGACGGGTCGTCCGGCTCTCCCCAGGCATGCTGGGGGATTGTTCGGCCTCCTTGACCAGGAGACAGCTCTCCTCCCCAGTGACGTGCCTTCCTCAGGTCTCTCGGGCTTGGCCGGCCTCCACCTCCTCCTCTTTGGGTACATTTCCCTGCACTGGCTGTTCCAGGGGGATTCTGGAGAGCTTAGTTAACTATGGGGCCCCAAAGAACTGAGATCTGGGGCCCATGCCAGGACATTGCCAGTCCATGGTGATCTCACCTGTCCACGGTGATCTGCCAGTAGCCCTCGGCAGAAAGGGGCACCCAGTTCAGGTTTCCAGTGTAGTAAGAAGTATCGATGCCACCAAACATCACCACGCTGCCACTCTGGTCATTACTGTGGAAAGTTGGGGGAAAAGATGGGAATTTATTTGCTCAACTGAACATCTACTGTGTGCATCCTAAGAGCTGCACTTGACCGGGCTCTAGCCAGTGCCAGGAGCCATGCCGAGTGTGTTTCTTTCAATCCTTACACCAAAGCCCATACAGTAGTCTATTATTGGTATTATTACTACTACTACTATTATTATTTCTACTTTATAGTGAGGAAACAGAGGTTCAGAGAAGTTAGGTGACTTGTCCAAGGTCACACAGCCAGGGAGTGCCAGGACCAAGATTAGAACCCAGGTCCTTCTGGCTGCAAAGTGTGTGGTTTCTAAGACATACTCACTCTTAATGCCATGGAGACCTGAAGAGAAGTGAATGTAGGACAGTTTGCTCCAAAGGACTTGATTGTTCACTGGGTCTCAGCCAGGGGCAGTTTTGCCCCCAGGGCCATTTGCCAATGTCTGGGGACATTTTTGATTCTCATGATTGGGTGAGAATAAGGGTGCCGCTGTCCTCTAGTAGGTGGAGGCCAGAGAGGCTGAAAAACATCTTAAAATGCACAGAACAGCCCCAACAGCAAGGAATTATCTGGTCCAAAATGCCACCAGTGCTGAGATTGGGAAACCCTGATTGAGCTGGAGATATATCCCCGTGTGAAATAACTGAGTACACATAAAGGCAGACTGTGTTTAAGAGTCTACGTGAATAATAAGTGGCCAAGAGGGAAAAAGGATAGAAGGGGCCTCCTGCTGTAAATTGCAGGGATCCTTTTACTAGAATATTCATCTTCTAAATCTCTGCAGTTTTAAATTAGCCAGGAAACAAAAGTAGGCAGTGATAAAAAAAATTAATCACCAAAGAACTGATCACAGATAAAATGGTCCCTGTGCACCCCACCCCACCTCTCCTGTAAACATCCGGCCGTACATTGCAACACAGAGATTGTAGCAGAACAGTTAACAGCTAAAGAAAATCATCAATGGGGACAAATTGCTTCAGAAGAGAAGGATGTGAGTGCCACAGGCAGGTTGAGCGTGTCTGGAAAAGTGATGACACGCTCAGATAGTCTTGCACAGATCTCTACTCAACCAAAAGCAACCCTTGGTTTATTCTTTATGTATTTTTAGAATTAACTCATAGTCACACCTGGAACCTAGATTTTGTTAACTCATAAAAGAAACTTGTTTTCCTCATTAAAAGTTGCATTGTTCAAGATAAAAGTCCTGAGGAAATCCTCCTTTCACTTTTTTGCTACGGAATTTTGGCCCCTAGTTTAGGTGGATTCACTTTAAATGGTGGTCTTTTGGGGGCCAGTGATGAGGAGATGGGTGCTGCAGGTCAATGGCTACTGACACTTGAGTTGTCTAAGTTAAGGTGATAAAGACTTACTTTAGTAAAGTAAGAAGAATGAAGATGGTTCACTGGAGAGAAATTTGGCTTCATTCTCTCCAAAGATATACCTCTCAGCCTTAGACATTAACCTTGCCATCCCATGCTTGCCAAGACCCTCTGGCCCTTTCCCAGCACAGGACAGCCCCTTGCTGGGCCCATGACCTCCCTACCCAACTTACGGGCTCAGGTAGACGGCGAAGAGGTCTTGGGAAACCAGACCCTGGTTCCACATGTTGTCAAAGACAGGTGTGGCCCCAGAGGAAGCGATGCTGGGATAGGCCAGACCCAGGATGCCGTCGAAGGGAGAGTAGTACAGGAAAGAGCCAGGCTCGGTCTCGCTCAGACCGAAGATCTGGTTGGTGTCGGCGATGCCTCCCACCTGAGGAGAGGAACCCAAGATGGGCACGATCAGCTCGTGTTGAGCCCTGTGGGGCACCAGCCCTGGGCCCAGAGTGTTCCTGTTTCATCCCGTGTGGGATATGGCTTCTGGGGCATCAGGCTGGAAGGAGGGGAGAGGGACTGTGTTTTTCCCCAGACGCTTGTTTTTCCCCTGGAAGTAATCATTGTGGCTGATCTCCAGATGGTCACACTCTGTGCCTGGCTGTGAGAATTTGCTGCAGAACAGATGGTCACCTTGTGTTTGTTTCTAAGGATTGGATGCAAAGCAGACCCCAGGCAAATTAGAGCTGCGACCCCTGCTGAGCCCTGGACGGCCGTGGGGGTGGGGGGAGATGTCTGTGGAGCTCTTGTGACTCAGGTGGGCTGCAGGTGGGGGAGGAGGAGGTGCTGAAAGAGGATGGAGCCTTTTCCTGCCTTCTCCCCGGCCCAGACCACGATGGTCAGCTTGGGTGGGGCTGATGCTGGCCTATGGCACTAGGCAACCCGCACCCCTTGCCTACTACTGCCCCACCTAGAAATGTCCATGACCTCTCTGCCACTTTCCCCTCCTGCATCCCCCCCTGTATCCCCTAGTCAGGTTACATGGTAACAGCCGAGACCCATCTTGCTTGAATAACCTGGTTCTCAGGGGTGCTGCGGTCCCCAAGGTCCCTGGGAGATAGACCCAGGGCTGGGCAGCATGGGTGGTGAGCCGGGAGGTGCCCACCTGGACGGTGTCATATCCAAGGATGCCTGTCATGCTGCCAGTGCCATAGGTGATGGACACTGTCTGGCTGGTGGCCTGGTAGGTGGAGGACTGCTGGGGGTTGAAGAGGTTGTGATTGGCTGCAAGGGCAAGAAGTGACGTCGTCAAACTCCAAAACCAAGTGGGACTCATGGGCAGGGGTCGTCTTCCTGGGGTGGGTGCCTTGATTCTGGGTGAGTGGCGCTTTGGAAGAGAAAGGTAACCTCCTCCCAGACTTGGAGCCCAAGCATTTGCAGGTTCCTTCGCCATCAGATTGGACCAGTTGGGACCATCTCACTGATGGAAGGTTCCTCCCCAACCCCCGCCCCTCGGTCTCCCTGAGGACCCCACAGGTGGACAGTGAGCAGAGCAGGCCTGTGGGTATGCATGGTGCACACTTCTCTGCCCCTGGACTGAACTCCTTGAGGGCAGGGACCATGTGCAATTCACCCCTTCATGCTCCAGGGCACCGAAGCCCAGGGTTTGGCACATCGTAGGTGCTCAGTAAATGCCTGTTGAGTGAACCCTTGAATGACACCAACAGGCTTGAAACTGGACCTGTTTGAAGCCCCTGAGTGTTCGGGGCTCCCAGGTCAGTTGGTACTGAGGGGGCCTGGGCAGGGTAGGGCTGGGCGGGGCCAGGCACTCACAGCAGGCAGGACTGGAGCAGTAGACGGAGGGCACCCACAGGTTGGAGGAGCCAGTGTCGAAGATGACTGTGAAATCCTGAGGGGGTGTTCCGATGCCAATGGTGCCAAAGTACTCCATCTGGTAGGGTGGGGACAGCACGGTTCACTGACTGGGGGCTCCCCAGCCTGCCTTCCCCAGGACTGTCTCTGGGTTGTGCCCTTAGCCCACCTGCTGTCCGTCCCTTCACTGTTTTTCTTGCCTTTCTCACCATGTACAATACGTCCATCTTTCAAGGCCCAGCCTGGTCTCCCTTCCTCCTGAAAGTCTCCCTTGATTGCTCCCCTGCTATCCTTTGACTCTTCTCTTCTAAGCACCATTAAAACCTAATACTAATCTGCTGTCCCCTCTTCAGCTCTTGTCCTGTATTTCTTGGTCTTCCATCCTGGAGGATGTACATCCTGGGACATGTGGACCTTACAGCACCCAGCAAAGTAAACGCTTAAATATTTTGTCATTAAATTGCTGAGTGGGGGAGAAATAAGTCACCTAAAGATGGAAACCTCTCAAGATATCTTATTCCAGAATCTAGGTCTGTGCAGCATGTTTCAAGAAAAGGTATTGTCAGATTCTTAGTTTTCAGTGGCTGCATTCTCCCTTTTGCCAGCACAGTTCCAGCCATGCTGCCCCTTCTCTTTTTTGATGGTGACAAGCTCATTCCCATCCCAGGGCCTATGCACTTGCTATTTCTTGTGCTAGGAAAATGTTTATTCTAGATCTTTTGTTGGCTGGTTCCTTCTCATCAGTAATTCAGAGCTCTAGTCAAATGTCACCTCTGCCAAGAGGCCCTCCCTGACCACCTTATCTAAATGTGCCCCTTCCCCATTCTTTTTCTTCCCATTCCTCTAATTAACTCATTTTTCTTTTGACACTTATTACCTGACATTATCTTATACACTTATGCATTTGTCTCTTGTTTATCTTCCTAGATATTCCCACATCTTTCCTTATATTCTTCTCTAGACATTAAGCTTCAGGAACTTTCCTTATTCACCATTGTTTCCTCACTTTCTTGCATAGAGCCTTTGGTACATAGTAGGTGTTTCATAAATAGTTGTTAAGTGAAAATATGGGCTAACCTGTACCAAGCTTTTACCAAGGGCCAAGCCTTGTGCTGAGTAACTCCAAAAAAAAAAATTTTATTGCTAAGTTACTTGCAGCAACCCTCTTATGGCAGATATTAGTGGTTCTGTTTTACAGATGAGGAAACTGAGGCTTGCTCAGAGAATTTCAATGACTTGCTCAAGGCCAAGTGACTCGAAAGCATTAGATTCCCAGCAGGTCTGGCAGATTTCATAGGCTAAGCTTTAATGACAGGCAACATTGCTCCATACCCGTAGCCCTGTGCCGTTCAGAGAGGGGACACACGGTGTTTACGTAAGGGCAGGACATTGCCACTGGGCCCCAAATAGAAGAGTCAGATGGATCTTCATGAAATTCCAATCTGATCCTGTCGATGCCCCTGGTTAGGTTGACTGGGCGGCAGTTAGGATGTGGAGCCCTATCCAGACTCTGCTCTGGCTTCCCCACCGCCCCTTGGGCCGGGCCTCACTTGGCATTTTGCTTTTGCCCTTGAGGGCACCTTTCCTCAAATGTTCTCTGCTCCCCGCTGGCACAGGGTCCGGCAGAAGCCCTCTGCTCTCTGGGACTCTCTCTGGTCCCCTGGGAACCCCTGCTCTCCCTTCACTGTCCGGGGGCCGGTGTCCCTGCCATGCTCTCCAGGCACGGAACCCTCGGCTTGGTGGTACTTTTCTTGGTTTGGGAGGCTGGCTGATTACATGCTGGTGAGCTCCGTGAGGTCAGGGGCTGGGCCTGTCTTTGTTCGCTGCTGCTTCCCCAGGGCCCAGCACCCTGCCTGACACACAGGAGGTGTTAATATACATAAACACAGGGTGAGTGAACAAAGGAGAGGCCCCTCTGACTGTTTTCCTGTGCTTCCTATGCCTCTGAGATCCGGGAACAGCCCCTCCGGGGGCCCCCAGGAGCTCCTCTCTCCTCCGGGCCAAGTCTTGGTGGCCGCCCTGCCACCTGCCCGTGCACTCACATCCATATAGTTCTGCAGGGGCTGGTCGGCCATCATGTTGGCTGGCTCAGTGGGGAAGTACTTGTTGGCCGGGTTGACGCTGTGCGTCTGCAGGAACTCCTGCAGCTTGCCATGCTCGATCAGCTTCTGCCTCAGGGACTTCATTCTGACGAGGGGGACCCTGTGGCGGAGTGTTCATGAAGGGATGGTTTAGAGAAAGAAGAGTTTAGGCCAGGAGTCTGCTCCTGGGGTGCTGTGGGGAGTCCCAGAAGGAAGAGGGAGCTGGCCCAAGAGAGGAAGAAGGAGGGAAGTCAGAGGGGAGATGTCCCCACTTTGGGCCTGTGAACGCAGAGAGGTTGCCCCAAGCCCCACCGGCGCAGCACTGGAGCTGGGAACCACACCCAGGCTGGACATGAGGGCTGGTCTCCTCCTCAGCAGCGCTGCCTCCCCTGAGGGCGGAGAGGGACAAGAAAGGAGACTGGAGACAGTCATAGGAGGAGAGAACTTGTAAGGCGGAAGAAGGGAAGAAAAGAAGTGTGGGAGGAAAGAGAGGCAGGGGACAGGCAGCAGAGGGAAGGAGCCTCCTGGAGCTCTTTGGGCCGGGAGTGCCACAGACTCACTTGTAGACCTTGCACTCAGAGAGCGCCACCAGGCCGAGCAGCAGCAGCCACTTCATGGTGCCCCTTGGATCCCAAGACCCCAGAGAAAGCCAGACGGGTGGACGGTAGGCAGCAGCAGGCGGGAGGTGCTCCTTATGTACAGCCCAAGCCCTTGGGAATCAGCCTTATCAGCCTCCAAATGCCACCCATTATCCTCATAATTTCCTGATAAGATTGTCGCCACCCCTGAGCCATGTTCCGGTTGGGTAGCTTTCCACTGTAACCACATCCAGCAGTTGGGGTGGGCCTGCAGAGAGAGCACGATGGAGTGGTAGCTTATTTCTTAAATAATGAAATGTGTTAAAACTTGACAAGCTGAGTATTTTGACAAAATCGGTCTAAAGCGCACTTACCATTGCACAGATGTCAAAGGAGTTAATTCTATCCTGATCTGTCCCACAGGGACACACGGCTGGGATTCTTGGGGAGCAGCTCCCCACAGAGCAGTGGGCCAGGTCCCTGTAGCTGGCACCCCAAAGCACATTTGTAGATTGGTTGTTTGGGACTCAGGGCACATCCCCCGCCCCCCCCAGAAATGTCGTTCTTTGGAGTTACTGGCTGTCTAACTAGCCTACGGGCCTTATTATGCTCTGCTTCTCACGGCAGCTGGACTGTCTTGGGAAAGTGGTGCATGTAGCACAGAGGAGGGAGGAAGATGTGGAACAAGAGGGAGATTGCTGCCTTCCCTTCATGGAGGAAGGAAACCTGAACCAGACCGGGTTTGTCTTTGGAATCTGTGCCCTCACTTTCTGCACCCTTTCTCTTCCACCCTCTCAGGCTGCTCAAACCCTCCACTTTGAGATCCCACCTGGGTCTGACTCTCTCAGGTGAAGCATGCTTAAAACTTGGCTGAATTGGTGGCAGTGGAGCAAAGCAATCCAGGGAAATTCATACTAGCATGTGAATGACTTAGAAAGGTTCTCTTCTTAAAAGAGGAGGCTTCCCAACCTGATGGATTCTCTGCTTTGTGGAGTTTATTCAGTGGACAAAGTGGGCTGAAAAAAACTGATTTGGGAATTGCGGGGAAGGGGCATATGCAAGAGGGAGGTCACCAGTAGGTAGTGAGCCCCACTTTTGGGTCTTGTTCTGAAATTGGATTCTCTGGACCACCCACCCTTGGTTTTTCCAGCATCAGGAAACACAGATTCTATAAAAGCTCCAAATTCCCTGCAGCGCCTCTAGGTGAGTATGGAGGGGTGGGCAGGGCAGCTGAAGACCCAGGGGTGGTTTATACAAAGCACGTTTGCATTTCAAACTCACCCGTGAAAACATGTTTGTGTCCCCAATCCAGACCCTTGCCCTGTATTTTCCCCTTCCACGCCTTTTGGCGCTGGCTTCCTCTCCTCGCCTCTGCCCCCTCAAGGCTTTCTCCCCTGGCCTATCCTCACCGTTGGGCTGATTTCAGCACTTGCACGCTGTTGTAGATGGTCCTGAAGATGCCTGCTCCTGTCTTGGAGCACCAGATGAAACCCCTGACTCGAGGCTACCCCCCGTGCGAGGAAGGGGCATGTGCTGGGTGGGGCTCATCAGGGCCTCCAAAGTGTCTTATGCTGGGCAGGGGGTGCTGGAGTGCTTACCATTATTCTTCATCCTTTATGTCTGGGTTTTGCATATCTGAAACAACTTATAATCATTTTCTTGAAAAAAAGAAAAACAGATCTTTTGTGCGTACTTTGCAACTTGGAAATAGAAGGAAATGTGACTGGATGGCGGCAGGGTGCGTGAGGGAACCCTGAGGATGGAGACAGGAATGGACTGTGGACTGTGAGGAGCATTCCATGTGTTTTATTCAGCTTTCTTCTCCCTTGGTGAGTGGTAGGTGCGTGGAAGCGTTCAACACAGTCTTTTAATTAATCCCATGTACACTTGGCTTAGTGAAGAGTAGCTTGGGAATGTAGCTCAGAATAGGGTCATGATTCCATAATTAGCTGTTTTTGCCAGTTGCCAGCCAGTCTGGTAATTTACACAGAATGACATTTTTCATGGGTGTCTCTTCCTTAGCATTAGGGGAGGCAGGAAGCTTAGATTTATTGTCCTCTTACTCTTAGCTCGTTCTGGTAAGTAGCATTGCTCTCCTATTTTACAGATGAGGACCCTGAGGCACAGGGAAGTTGTGCCACTTGCCTGAGGTGACCCAGGTAATAAGTGACTCAGCAGGGGCTTGAATCCAGATCTCTGTTCACCCCCCGACCTTCTCCCTTACTCATGACTGGGGTTTACTGAGTGCCGTGGAAGAATCTTATGAAGAGCTCTGGCTCCAGGGTCTGGGCTAGGGATCCAGTCTCTCTGAGACCCAGTTTGCTCATCTGTGAAATGGGGATAATAGTACCACCAGTTTCATAGGATTGTTGTGAGGATTCAATAAGGAGTGCCAACCAGCCAACACAGTGGCTAAAATAGAAGCCACTGCCAACACCAAGTGCTGATGAGGATGCTGAGCAAGTGAGACTTTCCTGCATTGCAGGTGGAAATGCAAGTGGTGCAGCCACTTGGGAAAACAGCTTAGCAGTTTCTTATAAAGGAAACATGCACTTACCATTTGACCCAGCAATTCCCCTACTGGGTATTTACTGAAAAAAAAAGAAAAAAAAACCTATGTCCTCACAAAGACCTGTACATAAATGTTCATAACACAGTTTTTCATAATTGTCCAAAACTGGAAGCAACTTGAATGTTCTTTAGCTGCTCCCTGGACGATCAAAGAGTGATAGAAGAGTGCTCAGCAACAGAAAGAAAGATGCTTGGGACAGGATCTCACAAGCATTATGCTGATGAATGAGGCCAGGCTCAAAAGGCCACATGCGTAAGGTTCTATTTATATGACATTCTGGAAAAGGCAAGATAATGGGAACAGAAAATATGTCAGGGGCAGGGGAAGGGAGTGGCTACAAGCAGGGGACGGGGAATTTTGGGGGTGATGGAGATAGTCTTTCTCTAGATTGAGCACTTGAAAAGGTGGATTTCTCTATGGCAGTAGACCTGATGGCTCTGACTTTACAGCAGGTGAAGGGCTCAGCCAGCGACAGCCACACGGTGGGAGTGAGGGGAGAACTGGACACAGGGTTCTGCCTGCGGGGGCATCTGGGAGTGGGATACACTGGATTCATCTCAAGTGAAATGTTGTAATAGCACTGAGGGAAATGGAAAAGAAAGACCAACCCACTATGACCCCTGTTTCCATTTTGGCCGTTTGTAACCTTGAGTAAAATCTGTCACTGTCTGCTTTTCTCCTCCACATTGAAGGGTGGGGGTGACAAAGCTGGCAGGCTGAGTTGCTGAGTAAGGACACTGCGAATATCTCTGAGCCCCTGGGTGCTCGGCCCTCCAGATAGGCAGTTTTATAGCATCCTGGGAGTGGGGCCAGCATCCGCCTAGGAAGGGCCGGTCATGTCCATACTCCCCTGGGCATCCTGGAGCTGGCTTGCAGGATGGGCATCGATTTTGGGGACTTACCTTGTCTAGGGGGTTCCCGTGGGAATTTTGGACAGAGGGGAAATGTTCGGGAAGCAGAAGGAAGATTCCTCAGGCAGTGACCTGCAGGATCCATTTACACATTCATTCAACATGTTTTTTTCTGCACCTGCCCCCTGCTGGGTGGGCATGTTCTAGTTGCTGGGGGTATGGCAGGCCGGCCATCTCCTGGCCATGCGCATTGCCTTCACGGAGGTCTGGTCGGGTCAAGAGAGCATGGGGGGAGGCCTCTTTCCTTCCAGTCTGGGTTGGTCTTTGGATTGCACCAGTGGGAAGCTCCTGGCTTGGTGAAGATAATTAAGTCTTCCCACATTAGAGATTTTCACACGCATTCCACATTAGAGACTGGGACATGACATGACTAAGTAGTGACCTGGGAGGGGTTACAGCCTCTGTCACACACAGCTCTGGTCCTGGGATACTCTTGTTCCGGGCCAGGCTCTGTGCCCACACACGTCCACCTGGCTTCTGCCCATTGGCTAGAGCGGAAAGTGGATATTCCATGATGGCTGCAGCCTCCACCTCAGGGGCCCTCAAGAAGCCATTCTCCCTGTACCCATAGGAGCTCTTGGGAGGCAAAGCAGAATCCCGACTCTAGGGCCGCATGTTCTCCATGAGGTCTGATCGTTAGCCAGGGCCGACGGCGGCTGCCAACAGGGGAGCCATGTGACCTCCTTGTGCCAGACTGGCCTGGCAGAAAGATTAGACAACAAGGTTTACTTTGGCATTAGCCCTGCCAGGCACTCAGCTTTGAGGAGCCCTGGGAACTGCATCGTTAATGTAGGGCACCCCTGCCAAGGGCACAGGTGCTCAGAAATGTTCCGTGAACCTATCAAGCAATGGAATGAAATCTAAAGAACCCATTTGTGGCAAGACCGCAACGGAGCACTCAGCATGATAAGTGTTATCGAGCTGGTCTGATAGGCCTTGGGACGGCTGGTCCCCTAGGGGCTTTCAATCATGGTGTCAGGCCTGGCACACCGTGTCTAACCATATAGAGCACATGTTTCCATTCCCCAGGCCCAGACTTGCATAGTTTTTCCAGAGATAGGCACACTTTTTTTTTTATTAAGGTGTCATTAATATACAATTTTATGAAGGTTTCACATGGGCAACATTGTGGTTACCACATTCACCCATATTATCAAGTCCCCCACCCATCCTATTGTAGTTACTGTCCATCAGCATAGTAAGATGCCACAGAGTCACTACTTGACTTCTCTGTGTTGTACTGCCTTCCCCATGCCTCCCCCATATTATCTGTGCTGATCATAATGCCCCTTAATCCCCTCCTCCTTCCCTTCCCCAACGCCCTCCCGACCCACTTCTCTTTGGCAACTGCTGGTCCATTCTTGGGTTCTGTGAGTCTGTGCTGCTGTTTTGTTTCTTGCGTTTTTGCTTTGTTGTTATGCTCCATGGATGAGTGAAATCATTTGGTACTTGTCTTGCTCTGCCTGGTTTATTTCACTGAGCATAATACCCTCCAGCTCCATCTGTGTTGTTAGGCACAGGTTTTTAAAATTAAACCCATAATAGCAATTTTTGGGCCCCAGTATATAAATAATGCATGTTAGGTGTAGATTATTTATAGGTAAATAAAAATTAAAAAAATGACTCCACTATCCAGAACTATCCACCATGAATGTTG